GCCCGATTGCATGCTTACCAATCGAGATTTGGATAGTGATTTACTTGGATCCTTCAATTGTTGAGGTAGCTTGCTTTGGATTCTTGAGCTATATTCTTTAGTGAGTGCCACAGTCTCGAACTCTGTCAACCTCCTCTTGTTTGCCACTATGTCCTTGATGTAATTGGCATATTTGGGCACTTCTTGCAGGATGTCTACATGTGGAATGTTGATTTGCACCTGCTTAGACTATCAAGAAACCTTTTATAATCGGCATTATCCTTCACTTTCTGCAATCTCTAAGGGAACAGAGGTGGTGGCCTCATAACTAATGGTGGGGGTTGCTTAGCCACCGCTCTTCAAGTGGCTTCTCTAACTCTTTTGATTTTTCTGATTCTACCTCTATGGTGGACGATTCCTCATGAAAGGCCACTTGCTTCCTCTTTTTCGACTGGACTTCTTCTAACTGTCTCCCATTCTTCAGTGACACAGCATTAATAAATGTTTTAGGATTAACCTCAGTGCGCTTGGAAGGGCTCCAACAGGTCTAGTATTTTGGGCACTAGCAAGTTGCCCCATTCGTCGCTCCAAATTTCTAATTGATGCAGCGTGGGTTGCTGCTTGAGCTTACTGGTCAGCCATTAATTTCTTCATCATCTCCTCAAGGTGACTCGTTAGGTTTGCAGGTTGTTTAGCCTGAGGTGGTCTATATTGTTGTTGAGGCGCTTGTGGCCTGTACTGATTCTGGGCACCATGGTTTTCACCCCAAGAGAAGTTTGGGTGGTTCCTCCAGTTAGGATTGTACGTGTTCCCATACTGGTTTGTCTGGTCCCTATTTGCGTTACCCACAAAACAGACAGACTCTAGATTAACTGGCCATAAGTCGCTCGTGTGAACCTCTCCACATACTTCACAAAATATTTGAACCTGTTGCACTGGCTGGGCTTGTTGCTTGTTAATAACCAAGGTCATCTGATTGACTTGGTTGGCCAATGTGGCAATCTGTGCTGGATAATGCAGACACTACATCTCCTTGCCAATCAGGATTGCTTTTGGAAAATTTGTTCAATAATGCATATATCTCATCAAAGCTTTTCTCCAACATTTGACCTCCCACTACAGCATTTCCTACAATCTTTGTCTCGGGATGTAGCCCTTCTATAAAAGTGTGAGCTAACACTTTATTTATCTGATTGTGATGAGGACAGTCTCTGAGCAGCCCCTTGAACCTTTCCCAAGCTGAGTATAAGGACTCCCCGGATTTCTGTTTGAAGGCGACTATCTCACTTCTGATCTTTGCAGTTTTATCTGAAAGAAAGAACCTTGTCAAAAATTTCCTCGCCAAATCATTTCATGATGTAATAGAATTAGCTGGTTCCGCCTTCAACCATCTCTTTGCTTCGCCCAACAAAAAGAACGGGAAAAGTGTGAGCCTCACATAGTCTGGAGTGGCTTCGTTAGTGATATAAGTATCACTAATCTCCAAAAAGTTCAGGATGTGTTGTTATGGGTCCTCGTGTGGAAGATCCATAAACTGCCCATTCGTATATAGTAGCTAGATCATGCTCTGCTTCAGCTCAAAATTCCCAGTGATTCTGGACTTCACAATACTGGAGGTGATATTAGCAATGCTGGGCATCGCCACCTCCTGAACAGCCATATGTTGCTCCTCTGCCATGTTCACAAGAAATTGAACAAGTGCCTGCAGATTATTTATGTCTCTTGCTTCCCTCAACCTCCTGTGAAATGTTCTCTCAGGCTCAGGGTCAAAGCCTTGAAGTCTATCCTGGCTTCTGACCCATCGCATTCAATCAAGGTTCCTGAGAGCAGAGCAACAATTAAGTAACATTAGACTTAACGAAATAAACAATTAAAGCTAAAACTAGAAAGTAGTCAATATTCAAGTCCCCGGCAACGGCGCCAAAAACTTGTTGCTCCCAAATGCACACGCAAGTATACGTGGTCGTACAAGTAATAAAATGATAAGTCGAGTGTCGAACTCACAGAGACTTGTATTAACTACCCACTAAATTCACCAAGATTGTTATTCAGTCGAGTCAATCAGAATTCAAAAGTGTGATTACACTCAGCAATAATTCTAACTACTAACTAAATTATCAAGCAGCAAAATAGTTGTTGTGTATTTAGTAGAGACAAATATTCCAGGGTTGTGATCGATTCACCAATCCTATTATGCTTTCAATTAACTCTCACTTTCATACAATTCACTCATGGTTGCTAATTAATCGAACAATTGCTCTTGTATGCTTCTCCCGAAGTACTACTCGCCTATTCAAAATAAATTAACGCTTATATTTCGATGAAATCAATCTATTAAGAACACATTAAGATTATGATATTTAATTAAGCACGGTGACTAGGTATATTCCTATTCTAACCACAATTCCCCCCCCCCCCCTCCTCCTACCCCCCCCTCCCCTAAAGAATTGATCATGCTCTATTTAATTCTTCTCTAATCTAAACATAGCTTTCTCAAGCATAGCATAGATAGTAAATGGAACCTAACTGTTGGCCAGACAATGAAGCAATTAATCACAGATTGAAGAAATAATCATATATTGGTGAAATTGTAATCAAAGTTAAGTCAACTTTAAACAACAATAGTCATGGCTAAATTACAACCCAGAACTATGAGTTTTAGCCACTCATGATAATATCAAACAATTTCACAAGTGTTGGATAATTGAAAATACTAAGAAAAGATGAAGAAAACTGAGATATCCTCGCTCCCCGGTGTTTCTCGTGTGTATTTTCCTTTCAAAGTGGCTTCTCCCTTCTCAAAATAGGCATAGTCTTGCTTTTATACGCGTTGGGTAGGTCTTGGGCCGAAATAACCTTGTCCCCGGCGAAGTTGGAGAAATTCCCGTCACCAGCGCCCAGGGTAGCGTGGGGCACTGGCCCTTTGAACATTCTGTAAACGGCGCCACAGGTGGCATGGGGCGCTGCCTGTGGCGCTGGAAATCCACATTTTTTATTTTTTATTTTGTTTTGGCTCTAATCTCGCACCTTTCGCCGCCTATTGCCTCCGGATGATTCATACATATCAAAATACCACGGATTAACATAAATCAATACAATTTACATCCGAAATCTACGAAACACAAGTAAAACATGAGGTGATATGCATATAAATATATATATAATTTAAGCAAAATATCAGTAACTTAAATCTTTATTTTAATACGAGATAAACTTCTTTTTTGACAATTCAGAACTGACAAGAAATATTTTGCGTGGAAACATTTTTAAAGTCCATATGGCTGGCCAGAATTTTCTAAAGAAGATGGCTGGCAGACTGGCAATTGCTTCCTCTACAGAAATGGATTTGCAAATGTAGTTTCCCCCTTTTTGAAAATGGAATGCTATTGACTTTTCAGCGTTCTTTTTTATATATAATATATGTATTTTCTATTAACAAATCTTCTGTAATTGTTTCACTGACTTCTAATCTCTCCTGTCCGTTTCCTTTTCGTTATATATATATATATATATATATATATATATATATATATATAAAGATAGTCTTACTGCTTTTTCAATTTAATATTATATACTATTATTATTCTATCAACTCCTATCAAAAGGGGAAAAAACGAATAGTTACTAGTACTATATTGTACAAACAAGTCACATCTTTTCATAGTAGTCCCACTTCGAAGCTAATTCCATTCGCTTAAGTTTAAAATTTCTACATTTGTCTACCAATTATTTTGACTTGTTACAGTACTAATTTTCTGCTTTTTTCCATTTAGTTAAAAAGGGAAATGGAAATTCATTATTGGACAAAACTAATCATTTTTGCTAGATAACGTACGCAAGCGGTTGTTGAGTAAAATTTCAAATCCAACAGTAAGGGATCATTTGGTTTGCGGATAAAATAATATTGAGATTATAGTGCCGAAATTATATTATTGAAATTAATAATCTCTGGAAATTTTAGTATTTATGATTTGTTTTGTTCTTGCATTACAAAATGAGATATACAAGTACAACGTATAATCTAAACATATCCTCAATTTTAAACGGAATAAATTGGATAAACTTTAATTTCTAATTTTAAATGGCAGAAGGGTGACAACTTACTTGTTTTATCTAGGAATAACTATTTTTTGGATTGTTATCCCATATTGAATTTGGTACTAAATTATATCGGTGTTATTTACATCGAAAATAAAATGCATCCAAACAAAAATTAAAATAACAATGAATTTCATTTCGGAAGTATTTTCATAATCCCAAAAATCATACAAGCCTTAAGACTATTAGGCTATCCTAGTTTACTTTGGGTTGTTGATATATAAGTAAAAGAGAGATTAAGAGGCAACAATAATAACAACAACAAACCTGGTATAAAACACAAATGGGGTTTGGTATAAACGTAATGTGTACGCAGATCTTACCCTTACCTTGAGAAGGTAGAGAGGTTGTTTCCAATAGACGTTCGGTTCAAAGAAAGATGAAAAAAGAAGTAATAGCAACACACAATAATAACAGTAAAATAGCAAAAAAGCCGAAGCAAAAGAAAAAATAGATTAAGAGGACGAAAGAAGAAAAGGAAGAAAAAGAGGTGCATGGAAATTTCACCTATGTCCATTTTAAAAGAGAGAGAGGGGTCAATGAAAATGCATGTGAGAGAATACAATGGTAAATAGCCAACCCCACTCCCAGCGTAGAAATTGGTCGCTAAATGCTTAGTCATACTCGATGTTTAAATTATACCAAGCATTGTAACTTTATTATTTAAAAATATAATTATATATATTAATTAATCGTAATTAAAAGATAAAAATTTGTGATCAAAACACACAACTTGCATATTAATTTGGTGTAAGCATCATATGCTAGTAAGCAGTTATTGAAACATACAGCCCAATCATAAATTCAAACAAATGCAAAAGGTCAAGTTTTGATACCAGTAGCGTCAAAGTCATCCAAAGAATATTAAAGAAATAAGCCGACATAAGAACGCGTGGAAAAGAAAAACAATACAATCTGTACAAATTAAACAACCTGCAGTTCTCCTATTTTCCTTTTGACCATTTCTTGCAATTACTTTAGTCAGAACGTGAATAAGAGTGAACTTACGAAGTGGAAAAGAAGAAGTTTGATGGGTTATAATTCTATCACGACTTCATTTTTCAGTCTTATGGGAGTCTATAAAAGTCATATGCAATGAGAATTATACACTTTCAATGGCTTTTCTTGATACCCTTTTGGCAAATCTTATCAGGTAATGAGATTTTGTTGGTTTCCTCTCAATGTCTTGATGATCAAAAATCATTGTTGCTGCAGTTGAAGGGCAGCCTACAATATGACTCTAGTTTGTCAAACAAATTGGCACGTTGGAACAAGAACACAAGTGACTGTTGCAAATGGGATGGGGTGACGTGTGATAGCTCTGGTCATGTGATTAACTTGGAATTGGATAATGAGGCAATTTCTGGTGGAATTGAGAATTCAAGTGCTCTTTTCAGTCTTCTGTATCTTGAGAAGCTAAATTTGGCTTACAACAGGTTCAATGTTGGTATACCAGTTGGTATAGACAACTTAACGAACTTGAAGTACCTGAATTTATCGGATGCTGGTTTTGTTGGGCAAATTCCTATGACGTTATCAAGATTAAGCAGGCTAGTTACTCTTGATCTCACTACTCTTTACTCTCTTGCCGTTGGAATCCAGCCACTAAAACTTGAGAATCCCAATTTGAGACATTTCATTGAGAACTTAACAGAGGTTAGAGAACTTTACCTTGATGGTGTTGATCTTTCAGCTCAGGCGAGCGAGTGGTGTCAATCTTTATCTTCATATTTGCCTAACTTAACAAACTTGAGCTTGCGTGCTTGCCGAATTTCAGGCCCCATTGATGAATCCCTTTCCAAGCTTCAATTTCTTTCTGTCATCCGTCTTGACCAGAATAATCTCTCTACCACAGTTCCTGAATATTTTGCCAATTTCACAAACTTGACTACATTGACCCTCGGTTCTTGTAATCTGCAGGGAGTATTTCCTGAAAAGATCTTTCAGATACAAGCTCTAGAGACTTTGGCCTTGTCAAATAATAAGTTGCTTAGTGGAAGAATTCCTTCCACAATAGCGAACCTTACCAATCTTGTTTATTTAGATTTCTCCTCCAACAATTTCACTGGTTCTATCCCATATTTCCAACGGTCCAAGAAACTCAGCTACTTAGACCTTTCTCATAATGGTCTAACTGGTCACTTGTCTTCAGATCATTTTGAAGGACTCTCAGAGCTTGTCTACATAAACATAGGGAACAACTTGCTCAACGGGATCCTTCCTGCATATATCTTTGAGCTCCCCTCCTTGCAGCAGCTTTTTCTTAACGGCAATCAATTTGTTGGCCAAGTCAAAGAATTTCGCAATGCATCCTCCTCTCTGCTGGATACTATTGATTTGAGCAACAACCATCTGAATGGATCGATTCCCAATTCCATATTTGGAGTTGAGAGGCTTAAGGTACTCTCCCTTTCGTCCAACTTGTTTAGTGGGAGAATGTCACTTGATCTGATTGGGAGGCTCAGTAACCTTTCAAGACTTGAGCTTTCTTACAATAACTTGACCATTGATACAAGTAGCAGCAATTTGACCTCGTTCACTTTTCCCCAGTTGAGCATATTGAATCTAGCTTGTTGTCGGTTGCAAAAGTTTCCTGAGCTTAAAAATTTGCGAAGTTTGGGACAATTAGACCTTTCAGACAACCAAATTCAGGGGCCAATACCAAATTGGATTTGGGAAATTGGTGATGGAGCACTGTCTCACCTGAATCTTTCCTGCAATCAACTGGAGTACTTGGAACAGCCTTACAATGTTTCTAGCAATCTTGTAGTCCTTGACTTGCACTCCAACCGGCTAAAGGGTGACCTACCAATTCCACCTTCTTTTGCTATATATGTGGACTACTCGAAAAATAATTTCAGCAGTTCCATCCCACTCCATATTGGAAATGCACTTTGTCTTGGGTTTTTCTCACTAGCAAATAATAGGCTCACTGGAATAATTCCTGAATCCATATGCAATGCCAGCTACCTTCAAGTTCTTGATTTCTCCAACAATGCCTTGAGTGGCGCAATACCACCATGTCTACTGGAAAATGTTACAAATCTTGGAGTGCTGAATCTAGGGAACAATAAACTCCATGGTGTTATACCAGATGCATTTCCAATTGGTAGCTCTCTACAAACTTTAGACCTGAGTGAGAATAAGTTACAAGGGAGGCTGCCAAAGTCGCTGATCAACTGTGACTTGTTGGAGGTCCTGAATGTCGGAAATAACAGACTTGTTGATAGTTTCCCCTCGATGATGAAGAACTCATCCAGTCTTAGAGTCCTAGTCTTGCGCTCTAATGGATTTTATGGAGATTTTCAGTGCGATGTGACCAGTCATTGCTGGAAAAAAATCCAGATCATAGATATAGCTTCCAACAAATTTACTGGTGAATTGACTGCAGAATGCTTATCAAATTGGAAAGGAATGATGGTTCAAGATGATTACATCGAGTCAGGACTCAATCACATCCAGTTCAAGTTCCTCCAATTAAACAACCTATACTATCAGGACACAGTGACAATAACCAACAAAGGGATGGAGATGAAGCTTGTGAAAATTCTCAGAGTCTACACATCTATTGATTTCTCTTCTAATAGATTTCAAGGAGTGATCCCAGATATGGTCGGGAATCTTAGTGCCCTTTATGTTCTGAACCTGTCACACAATACCCTTGAGGAACCAATTCCAAAATCAATTGGGAAGCTACAAATGCTTGGATCACTAGACCTGTCATCAAACCAGCTATCTGGAGAAATCCCTGTAGAGCTTGCACATATCACATTCCTAGCATTTCTGAACTTATCGTTCAACAAATTGTTTGGCAGGATCCCCTCGATCAATCAATTTCTCACATTCTCAGCAGCTTCCTTTGAAGGAAACGATGGTCTATGCGGGCTCCCTCTCAAAAATTGCAAAAGCAATGACTCAGAGGTGATACTGCCACCAATTTCTCTAGAAGACTCAGATTTTGACTGGAAGTTCATTTTTGCAGCTGTAGGATACGCAGTAGGGGCAGCAAATACTGTTGCACTGCTGTGGTTTTACGAGCCGGTGAAGATATGGTTTGACATACGTATGGAGAAATGCTTGCTTTGGTTTTCAACAATGTGATCCTTAAACCAATAAATGAGGAGTTTATTTAACTATGTTGCTGCTTAAGCCTTGCTTTGATTGCTTTGTTGTAAATAAACTGCAGAATAAGCAAAGGCAAGATCAATATGCATAACCATGGAAGTGGCATTTCATTTAGACTCTAAGGTGCCAATGTTTCCCTTAATACATACACCATCCATTTACACTGATTAATTAAAAGAGTCATGTCCCAATTCTCTCTTGAATGCTATGCATGCATTTTTTAGTCTTTCCTATTCAGTTAGTACAATATTTGAATTGATTTCATATTTAAAAGCACAAACACTTCATTCTCTGAGCTTCCAAGTCACCCTTTTGTTCTCTTCAACATTGTGACGTTCATGAGAAATGAATCCTCGTAACAGTATTACATACCCAATTTTGTCTGTGGAGACTATGTTTCATCAACTCTTACAGGTATCCTAGTACCAATACGAATATGGTATTGAATTTCTATAAGCACCATTACACGGAGAAAACACTATCACAACCTTGGTAAACAAATATGTACATAATCATAAATGTAGCATTGCCAATAAAGAGTTGATTAGAGAATATTTTATAAAAATTTTAGTCATCAAAGCAATTGGTTTTAACTGTATTATGACTTAAGTTGCACAGCTCATATTGATATGCATGATAAAGCTAATGGCTAAGTAGTCTGTACTCATGCAAAGACACGTTGGCCTGTTATTTTCCTTGAATGAACTTTCTATTTGGTTTGACATAAAAAATCTTTAACATTGCGCATTTTGGGGGCAGGTGGTGTCATCAATTCTTTATTCCTTGAAAGAGTCGATTACAAGAGGGAGGCTGAAGAAAAAAGTTAGGAGAGCTATACCCGCAGTTGTAGAATGATTGGCTAGCCATTTGCTTCACTGAGTTTAGGGTGTTTGTTAACCATAGCAGTACTTGAAGTAAATGCAAGTTAAATAAACTCAGCTTTTCTCTTTAAATCCAATTAGAGAATGATTAGCTAGAAAATGAATCAATTTCAACAACGTAAACAATAATTCTCGGCTTCATTAAGCGAATCCAAGTTTTTCCCTTCAATGACAGTATATTATAGGAAATATCCATATTATCTATTCACTAGTAAGGCCAACACGCCCATACTAAATACGAGTCAAAACGGGTCGAGTGACAGATGATAGGAATATCCATATTATCTATTCACTAGTAAGGGATGGCCCATGCCAACAAAACTATTATCTAAATATTAGTGTCCTAAACATGTGTATGCTAGAGTTAGGTCGGCCAAAATTTCACGGTATAGCCAGTTTTCGGACTGGTCAATCAAAAATAGTTAGCGTTAACCAAGTCAATGAAAAATAGCCACCGTTTTGCTGCAATAGAGACCGGTCCAGCATAATATACTGGAGTTCGGTGCACTTGTGTATGAACTCCAGCATATTATGCTGGACCAGTATACTTTGCTGGCTCCAGTATAATATACTGGAGACTGGAGCACTGGTGCTCCAAACTCCAGTATATTATACTGGACCATTATACTTGCTGGAACTCCAGTATATTATGCTGGAGTTCTAGTGTATTTATGCTGGAACTCCATCATATTATGCTGGAGTTCCAGCATAGTATGCTGGAGTATTTTCCGGGTTTTGAACAGTGTTTTGGCTCAGATTTATCTTTACATAAAAAGTGGCTAAATTTCGATTACTTTTAAAATTGGGCTATTTTTGAACGACCAGTTGTAAATCTGGCTATTTTTAAAAATCACCCGTTAGATCGAGTTCATTTCCAAAAGATACTAAAGTTATTCTTAAAACACCTAAAGTCATTAAAAAAATATACTCCCTCCGTTCCAATTTATGTGAACCTGTTTGACTGGGCACGGAGTTTAAGAAAAAATGAAGACTTTTAGAATTTGTGGTCCTAAACAAGTCAAAAAGGGGCCCAGATTATTTGTGTAGTTATAAAAGCTTCTGATTAAGGGTAAATTGTAAGTTTAAGCTAAATTGTTACCAAATTTAGAAATGGGTCATTCTTTTTGGAACGGACCAAAAAGGAAATAGGTTCACATAAACTGGAACAGAGGGAGTAACTTTTTTGGTCCCAGGTATTACTTGAAAATTACAATTTAAAAGGAGCTAGTCTCATGATCATGTTGTGCGAAGTAGCAGGAGTTACAAAATTTTTGTCTAACTTACAAGTATTAACAATCTTCTTTTGTTGCAATGTCAAGTTATCTAATGCAACTACAATGAGGTTCACATTTAGTATTACCTCATATCTAAAATAAATGTTGTTTTAAATTTTTTGTATACTCATTAAGGAAATCATATAAAACATTTATTATAAGATTATTTTGATTAATTTATGCTTTATACCATAGTCAAATTACTCATCATACTCTGTAGGTTTGGAAAAACATGACTTTTAATTTCTCAAAGCAACATTTATTTTGGTCAAATATATTTAGCTAAAATGAAATTTATTTTTTAGGGAGATATAACCTAATTAAAACTATTTACATGTGAAATAAAGGAAAATAACATTATAGAAGAGGAGGTCTCTTGTTTTTCGGTTTTACGTCAAATTAAACTCTATTTTACTCAGAAAAATTATTTACTCAAAGAAAGATTTTAATTGTTTTTATAAGATTATAGAGATGCATATACTAAAGTTAGATGATTTTAGCTTCAATTATTAATTATGAAATTTCATACTACTACGTCTACTTTATAGGAAAGAGAACTCTTAAAATTTGCACAATGGGAAGAAATTTACGTTTAAAATGAGAACTTTTGAGAGTATATATGTCCAACTAATTATCCAACTAATTACTTGTACAAATATTAGCTATACAATTTAAGTTAATACAATCAATGTGTGTGAAATTTATGAGATTAATAGCATATAAAGTACTACCACTTATTAGCCCATGAATTTTTCTTTTTGCATATTTCTAGTCTTTTCTTGGGATATTCAAAATATTTTACTCCTACCATATTTTCTTAAACTTTAAGTTTTGAACTTACCATCTTGATTTTCTTTTTGTTGTCCAATTAATAAATACTTAAAAGAGAAGATAAATCCATCAACAGAAGTCTAGTTCTTTAATCTAAAAGGTGAAGATGTACTCGCGTAGAACAATCAAGCATTATATTTGGTCAATTCTTTTTTTTGTATTTTGTATTTTTGAATATCTTGTAAAGGAATAAGTTTTCTGTACGAAATATTAGATGTGGAAGATAAAAAGATACAATACCAATCCATAAACAAACAGAGAGCTAGACTACTAAGGAGTTGTTTGGTACGAGGTATAAGAAGCTATAGTGCTGGTAAAAAAATTTAATACCACCTTAATACTTCGTTTGGTTGGCAAACCAGGTATAAGTTATTCCAGGATTAAAACTAACACAACATACCAAATAATGAATAAAAAAAATCCCAGTATAATTATTCCTAACATAATTTATACCAGTATAACTTATCCCGGCATAAGCCATATTCAAACCATACACCCCTAAGTGTTACATTGAAACTGCCGAAGAGGGCCCACTTGAACAATAAGTGGCAATTTAAAATGCTGCAGTAACAGTAAGTGACATGGAAAGTTGATGTGGATCCCACACTTCCAACAAACTTATTAATTGTGTACAAGTAATAAAGCAAGCAAGTACAATATCTTGAAAACATATAAACTATGAAATTTCAAAAATGTCCCTATGCCAGGCAGACATGTTGACCATGAGCTGCCTGGTTATCCCCACTTATAGTATAGTCTATTCATATTTTCTACCAGACTAAGAGGGTGTTTGGCTAAGCTTATAAGTTGGTCAAACTGACTTATAAGCACTTTTTGGCTTATCTACGCGTTTGGTAAAATTAAAAGTGCTTATAAGTTAAGTGCTTATAAGCTAAAAATAAACCAAAATCCATAAGTTGGTCTCCCCCAACTTATCAAATTTAAGCTTATAAGCACTTCAGGTTTGACCAAAATATTTACTATTCTATCCCTAAAATACTTCATTTTAAAACAAAACTCTTCGTATACCCAGTTCTTCAGCTGCGTATTATTAATTTCAGGACTTTTATCCAAACACGTAACTGCTTATTTTTTAAATCAGTTTCAGCACTTAATGCTTATCATCTACTCTAAATCAGCTAAGCCAAACGGGCTCTAAAATTTACTACATATTGTATAAACATCAACTGAATAGTTTGACAACATACTAATACTCTGTACGCAATAATGAACATAAAATCATTTGTGAATTATGATATTTTAAGTAAAGATAGTTTACTTTTAAAATCTCAAGGCATCATGATCGAAATTTAGAAAGGAATTAAAGACTGGTTTTGATTTTTGTTAATGGGAGTGAGAAATTACCTTATTGGCATTGCTCCTGCAAAAGCGCCTTCATTCTCTCTGCTATTCATTCTCTCCGTAACTGCTCAAGTTCGATATCATATCACAACAAATCGATCAGAAACCACAAAAAATTGGCACCAGAAGCTAACTGATCATATTTCTAAGTTCTGACCCGTCATTTACCCATTTTTGAGTCACAATCATAAACAACAGATGCAAAAGCTAGAGGAGTCTATCTAACTTAAACCCTCAATTAGCCACAATCATAAACAACATATCACCTACACAAGCTATGACAGGCTCCCAAGGCTGGCTAGAGGACTCGCTCAATTGGATAGGTGGGTGGGAGATGGCTTCATTCAGAGTAAGACAACTGAAGGCAATAGAAATTCATTTTGAATTGTGACTTTGATTGGAGTGTGTAAGAATGGGTTAATGTATTTTCTGGGGGTTTGATAGTTTGTTGCATGTTTTGTTGGTTGTTTGGTTAAGTCTCATGCTGTTAAAACTTTTTTATATGCTCTCGCCTCTCGGTACACGAGAGATTATGGTATTTTAGATTGTCACCAAAATAATAAAAATTACCCCCTTCTTTTCAATTTAGATGGGGTAGCAGTCTGTGCAGAGTTAAAAATAAAAAAAGACTTTACAAATTTTGTAGTCTTAAAAACTTAAGGGGTAAAAGTTTTATGGGGCACTGTCATTTGTATGGTTATAAAAATTTCCCATTAAGGATAAAATGGGTAAAATGAAGAGTTTAAAGTTGAATTATTTTTAATTATAGAAATATGTCATTCTTTTGGAACGGATTAATAAGGAAAGTGTATCATATAAACTGAAACAAAGGGAGTAATACGTTTAAAAAAATGGAAAAGAGTTGAAAATACTCCTTT